ATAAAGACAAAATCCCAAGGAATCCGGACGGATTTTTAATAGAAAATGGGTTTTGACAGAAAAGTTTTTTTTTTCAAATTTTCTCTTTTTTCGATGGATGTGATTGAATGTGAAAGCATTTATATATACAAGACAGCGAATCAACCATTTTAGTCAAAAAAAAGTCTATCTAAAGAAATGTCTGATGGAACATGTAAATGCATTGATTAGGGCAAAATTAGTGATATTAGGGAGACCTGTTGCAGGCATACGGAATATGATTTCTACAATCTAATTACTTGTATTCCTATGTTAGAGTGTACTGTACGAGGATATATTCATAGATTTTCGAAATTTTAATATTTCACCGGAAAATGCTGAGTATTTTCAAAGTCGCCGTTTGCAATGTATTTTACCAGATATCTTTAGAAATAGGAGAGTCTATTCGCTTCCACATTGACATTCTATATTGAAATTACTTCCAAATGATCCGAAACATATAGACATAGAAAGATCAAGAGAAAAAATGACAAAAGATTAAAATCCCAAGAAATCCGGACGGATTTTTAATAGAAAATGGGTTTTGACAGAAAATTTTTTTTTTTCAAGTTATCTATTTTATCGAGGGATGTGATAGAATGTGATTGCATTTATATATTTCAGATATCAATTCAACCGTTCTAGTCAAGAAAAAACTCTACCGAATGAAACTAATGATAGAACATGTGAATGCATACAGTAGGCCAAAGTTAGTGATATTCGGGAGACCTATTGGAGCGATACGGAATTTGTTTTCTGAAATCTAATTATTGATAATCTTATGTTAGAGTGTAGCATACGAAAATATATTCATAGATTTTGGAAATATGAATATTTCACCGGAAAATTCTTTGCATTTTCAAAATCCTCTGTTTCCAATGTATTTTAAAAGATATATTTAGAAATTGCAGAGACTATTCGCTTGCACATTGACATTCGAGATTGAAATTAGTTCCAAATGATCGCAAACATGTAAACATAGAAAGATCAAG